TCGTAGTCGTAGTCGTAGTGGTAGTAGTAGAAGAAGTAGCAGTAGTCGTCGTCGTAGTAGTGGTGCTTGCTTGTAGCATCAGCAGTGCCAGCAGCAGCAGCAGTAGCAGTAGGAGTAGCAGTAGTAATAACAGTAAAAAGTACTAGTACTATTCACAATTTAATAGTAGCAATGTAAAACGCAACAATAGTCATGATTAAAATACCCATGCCAAAGCAACCAACATAGTCACCATCAGCATCACCATCACCATCACCATCACCATCACCATCACCATCACCATCATCATCATCACCATCACCATCACCATCATCATCATCATCATCAGCATCAGCAGCAGAATCACCATCAGCATCAGCATCAGCATCGCCATCATCGTCATCATCATCAGCATCAGCATCAGCATCACCATCAGCATGATGAAAGTTCGATGCTCTTGTAGCATGATGAGATTCTTGAGCCAAGTTTTTTGGGTAGACCTGGCTTCTGGGGCTGGGTGCTTGGAAACATCCCAAAGCAAATTGGTGGCAGGTGTTTAAGGTCCCTGTACGGGTGCCGTTGAGTAGCAAATCATCTACATGAGCACTCTGGAATCTGGGCACGGCAAGATCTGAGTGCATGACCCCGCTGAATGGGATGCTAGATTGCTCCCACATTTGTGATTTAAGCCGGAAACATCTAAATCCGAAATCCCCAATTCCATAAATGCCCAAAACCCTTTGCAACCCCCTAAACCCGAAATCCTTCAGCCCCACAAAAAACCACAACCCTAAACCCTAAACCCTAAACCCTAAAACCCTAAACCCTAAACCCTAAACCCTAAACCCTAAACCTTCTCAGGGAGGAGCCCAAGGAGCCCGTCCCAGCCCGGTCGACCACAGCTGAGCGAAAGAGCCGACGTGACGAGCTCGAGGCGAAGGCGCCGAGTTTGGGGGCTCTTGGGGGGTTTGGGGCCCATTAGGGGTTTAGGGTTTAGGGTTTAGGGTTTAGGGTTTAGGGTTTAGGGTTTAGGGTTATTAGACTATAACTATAATAAGGAAAAAAGGTAATTTGGGGGGTTTGGGGCCCATTATACTATAACTATAGTAAGGAATATAGGTAATTTGGGGGTTTGGGGCCCATTATACTATAATTATAATAAGGAATAGAGGTAATTTATGTAGGCCCCTATATATGGGGCCTGGAGTTTGGGGTTTAGAGTCTAGGGTTAGGGTTTAGAGTGTAGGGTTTGCAGGGTTTGTGGTTGAGGATAAAGTTTAGGGTTTAGGATTTTGGGCGTTTGGGGTGTTGGCCTAGGACTCTAGTGCTTGGAGTGCTTCTAGGATCTGGGCTCAGTTTCGGGGCCTTGAGGCTTTGGCGCTGAGTTTCAGGGAAGCTTCGGCTCCATTCTTTTCGGTTTGGGGTTCGATGTTCGGGTGTTGGGGTTTAGGGTTTAGGGTTTAGGGTTTGGGGTTTAGGGTTTAGGGTTTAGGGTTATTTAGGGTTGCAGGGTTTGGGCTTGAGGTGGCCGGGTTAATCGAATGGAGAAATCCTCAAATGGCTGAAGAAGCTTGGAGCTGAATGCAGGCCCTAAGCCCTAAACTCTAAACTGGTACTATTGGGGGTTCCTTATTTTTATTACTATTGTAGTTTCTGCCATTAATATCATCATCGTCATTTTTATTAAAATTATAGGATAATGGGCCCCACAACCCCAAAGCCTAAATGGCAACTTCCAGGTCGCGGAGACCATGTCTGCAGCAGGCGAAGCCTTCGCGGATGCTGAGGCGCGAACCGGGGGAATCTGGGTTTAGGGTTTAGGGTTTAGCGTTTAGGGTTTAGGGCTCAAATCTCAGTCTCTGAGCTGCTGGGGCACGGCTAGAGCCCTGAGCCCAAAGCCCGAAGCCCTAAGCCACGATCCCTAAACCCGAAACCCTGAACCCTAATCCTTGAGCCCTAAACCCCTAATCGAAATCCTTAAACCCAAAATCTTAATCCCCACAACCCTGGGCTACAGGACTGCAGGGGTGGCCAAAACCGCCTTCTGTTGGAGGGATTCCGGACTCTCAGCAGTTGGGACAAAAGTCGTCGAACCACTACACTTTGTACCCTAAACCCTAAACCCTAAACCCTAAACCCTAAACCCTAAACCCTCTAAACTCTGTACCGTAACTCGTCCAGGAAGCCAAGGAGCTGGCGGCTGACAAGCGAGAGAAAGCGGATGCAATGGAGGAGAACGCGACGGACCAGGCCGGGAGTCGCCCCCGGGGAAGACTTCACTCTCATATGACTCATATAGTATTTTTATAATATATACTAAATTTTATAATATGTATTTTATATTTATAATATATACTAAATTGTATAATATATACTAATATTGTCTACTATTTTATAAGATGTACTAAACATGTCATCCTGTTCAAGTATATATTGTATTATATATGATGGTGCTCATCAGGCAGCAAAGTTGGACAAGCTCCAAGATGAGGCCGGCGTGGATGTAGGAGGCCACCTCCCTGCTGTTTCTGCTCCAGGTGGAAGCCAAGAAAAAAGAACTTGCGGCTCTCACCCAGGAGGCCTAGTTGCGTTTACTCCACGGAGAGGTGAGGTTTGCAGGAAGTTCAGTTTCCGTTGCAGCTAAAAGCCAGCGGCCTTTTGCTCCCCTGTCTAGAACAAGCTCTGGGCGACTTCGGGTGCGGCGTGAGCGCGTATCTCATGCGGGCCTAGTCAAACTGCAAGGATCCTTTGAGCATTTTCTTGGAACCCGCGGCAGTGGGACAAAGCCTACTGCCTGCGACAGTCAAGCTTTAGATGTCTTGCTGCAGCACGCGGACGGTCATCACCCTCAAGCTACAACCGAGTTCGAAACAACTTCCTGATAAAACAGCCTTGCTGACGAAAGCGGAGATTTCTTCCTGCACTTTCTGCAGCCATCCTGCTTCAGGAACCACGGCTCCTCCCATTTTTTGTCACAGCCCCAATCCTTAATCCCGACATCCAAAACCCCTAAACCCTAAACTCTGAGCTCTTTTTGCCTTTGTCATCTGTGGCCCCCCTTCTTGAGCGGGAAGGTCGAAGAGGCCAAGGACGAGGTCCACCGCCTCAAGCAGGACGCCGAGGCCACAATATTAGTTTCATTGTACATGGCCTAAAATATGAGTTTCAATGTGATGTAGCCTCATAGAGAGTGTGATGTCTGATGTAAGTCACCCATCGTCTGCCATCGCAGGCTGCGGCACAGGAAGCTGCAGATGCCGAGGCTCGGAGAGCTCCAGGAAATTTGGGCCGACTTTGAAGCTGGCGATGCTTCGCTTGCTTCCGCGGCACAGTGACGTGGTGAGTTCAGTCCCGGGTGACAAGGCTGCAGCAACAGAAAAGGAAGAGCTTGCAGCAGCTGCCAAAGCAAAGGTGCGCAGCTATGACCTACACTCGCACACGAGAATCTGCATGAGAAGTTGTCCATGCTGCTATAAGTGTATGGCCAGGGCGAGGAAAATGCAGCGGCACTTGCCGAGTTCGACAAGAAGTACGGCTGCGATCCCAGCCCAAAACATGTCATGCTAAGCTTCTGCCATGGAATCTTGTGCAGCATCTTCCCAGTGCATCCTCGTATCGCAGGTGTCGTGCAGTGTAGTCCGTCCTTGAGGTATGGGGCCGGAAGAGGCCCCAGTGAACGAGACTCATGAAGCCGAGAAGGCTGCAGAAGCTCCTGCCAAAGAGGGTGAGAATGCGGAGGAAGGCGCCATGTGCAGAAACTGTCCGGTAACCGTCACAAACTTGGTCTTCTTGACTTGTCGCATGGAGCTCCTAAGAGGCTCTGAAGATTCCTACGATGAGAGCGAGGAGGAAGAGGAAGAAGTCGACGAGAGCCAGGAGCTTGGTCTCCAGTGGCCATGGAGACACCGGACCCAGGCTCCCTCCCATCCCCCGAAACCCTAAACCCCTACAGCCCCAAACCCTAAACCCCCAAGCCCTACACCGTGCACATCCACCCCTCAGCCCAAAACCACTCGCAGCTCAGGTGCCTCCGAGAGCGAAGGCAAAGCGAAGCCGCGAGCCGGAGCGGCGAATGCCGCGCCGCGGCGCGCGTGGCCCGCCGCCCCCGAGCGGCCCCCGGAGCGTCCGGGCCCCAGAGACGCCTACTATACTGCTTGTACTGTAGAATTTGTCATATTTTGTTGTAGTATATACAGTGTATGTCATAATACATACTTGGGCATGAGGGCGGGTTTTGCCGGGGCGTTGAATCGTGCTTGGTCATAAACAAGACCTCCTGGGATTTCAAGTGGGTGTTGTCTTCAAGCCAGAGATTAAATTAAGGATTCAGGGGTTTCGTCGTTGTGAGATAGTGCCCAGCAGGGACTCGTGAGTGGATGCTTTCTGCTCAGGAGATCGGGGAAATCACGCTTACAGAGAGCGAGAAGCAGAGGGAAGGCCGGGACGGGAACGAGAAGGACGGGACCCCAGAGATGCTCGCGATGGGCGAGGACGGGACCGAGAGAGGGATCACCGAGACATGCGTGATGCCAGAGATGGGCGAGAAGCCCGAGACACCAGAGACGGTCGCGACCGCGGAGACCGCGACGGCCGTGACGGCCGCGATGGCCGCGATGACCGAAATGGCCGCGATGGCCGCGATGGTCGTGATGGCCGAGACGGTCGGGACCCTCGGGATGGCAGGGAGCGAGAGGCACGAGACGGGCGAGATGGCCGCGATGGGTGGCGAGAAGTGCGAGGGCCGCGCGAGCGCCGGAGATGACCCATGGCCCGCCCTGTTGCTGGCTTGTGCTTGCGCGGCCGCCAGGTGGCCACGTGTACAAAGGAAGCATCTTGTCCAGCTTCGCAGAAAGCTCAATCCGATGAGCCTTGGCCTCGTTGAAAGGGCACAGCTTCAAGATTATGCGGTAGCAGCCAGATGACGCGTTTCAACAGCCAGCACAGAAAAAGGTGCTCCCTGTGTGTGAGGAGGGCAGCTTACAGAACGTCCTTAATTGTTGGACAGGGGAAACCATCAGATACGTGGTGAGGACTTTGGATGGCCGCAGAGAGATGTATGTGCTTTATCCTGCTCTTTCAAGCCAGTTCGTGGACATCTGAAAACCCTCTCTTAGAGTTCCGTCGTGTAGCCTGAATGGTAAGTCTCACAAGAAGTCTCAGAAGTCTAAGAAGCCCCAGAAGACCCTAAACCCTAAGCCCAGAACCCCAGCCTGAACTCAAAAGCCCTGAAGCCCTAAACCCTAAACCCTAAAGCCATAAACAACCCCAATACACCCTCAGAAGATCATAGAAGATCAGTGCTTGTAGACCCCCGTCCCGGCGCCTGCATGACGGCTCATGGCGGCCTGGTCTGCTTCCCAGAGACATGGTTTTAGGGTTGAGGGTTTCAGGGTTGAGGGTTTTGGGGTTTGGGGTTTGAGGCATGGGTTTAGAGTCCAGGATGCAGCTCGCACGCATGCCTTGTTTCCTCTGCTTCCCTGCTTTACATAGGGTATGCAAAACGGTAGTGACGCATGCGAGCAATGCCGAGCGGACGAAGGTTCCCGGTACCTGTTCGCCTACATGAATCCAAATATATCAAAAACGAGCCAGGCGATGGTAGGTGCATGAGTAGCTGACATAATTGCGTGTACATAAGTTGTGTGTGTGTGTGCACTTATACAGATGTATGTTTAATTCAGGCAAGGATTTCTTGCCGTAGTTGCTGCGGCTACATCAAGACACCCTGCGATGACCCCAACCAATAGCATCCGCCTACATCTTCGCACATGGCAGCCGGAGCTGTAAATCCCTGTCATACACTGTGCCGTATCATGCCATATATGATACCATATCATACCATACCACATCGCAGCATATCACATCACCGCATAACGTCACACACCAACACACTGTCGCACAGCATAACATGCCACAACATACCGCAGCGTAACATAGCACAACACAACATAGCAGAATATGACACAACATAACATAACACAGCACAATATAGCATCGCATAGCATCGCATAGCATCGCATAGCATCGCATAGCATAGGATAGCATAGCATTGGGTGGCACGTAGCATAGTACATTGCAGCACGGCATAGACGTATCATGACGCAACATGGCATAACATGCATGGCACAAACCAGCATAGCATAACATAGCATAAGCATATGTACCTTATGTCTGTCCATGTCTATTCCCATGTCCATGTTCATGTCTATATCTTATCTTGTCTCTTCTTCTTGTCCTATCCTATCGCATCCCATCCTCTCCTATCACATCCTATCTTATCCCATCTATCTGTCTGTTTGCTTGTCCAACTACCGTACTCTATCTTGTCCTAACCCCCTACCATATCGCCTATCTGATCTACCGATCGAGCGATCTATCGATCTATCGGTCCATCTATCTACCTTTCTACGCACCTATGTATGTGTCTATCTATTTATCTGTCTATCTATCTATCAATCTGTTTGGCTACCTATATGAGAACATCAGATCAGTTCAGGTCAGATCATACCTCACTATTCTCTGCAGTCAGAGGCTAGAAAAAGGGAGGGCTTCGGTGAGCGCATCCGAGGCGCTTCTGCCTCCTGGCTTTGCATGTGGCGGCAGCTGCCTGGAGGGACGGTGCGACCAGCAACGAGAACACGTTGATGTCTGACATGCTCCAGATTCCGTGTGCACGGGTGCTAAATTGTATAACCAGATGCGTGCACACACAGAATACATATATATATATATATATGTTTATTTGTATGTATG